ACAGCGCCTATCTACAACCTTAGCCCCTTCGATCTTGACCCAGCCAACAACACATAATTACTGTCTCCTACTGAAATCAAAAGCCCGGGTTTGGGTCTGAATTATTAGTTACTATAGTTAAGCCAGGATGAAGTTGACATCTCCTTTACTTTTCATCCTTTTTAAAAAGGAGATGTAGCTAGGAGGCGATTGAAGCACTTCAGTGAATGACGCACAGTGGACGTTCTGTTGAAGAAATGCCAATTTGGAGAAACCAAATCTAAGTGGGAAAAGCTCTTACCGAAAGTATTCAATCATAATATAACGGGTTAAAAGCAGGCGGTCATACAACCGAATGCTTGTGGTGAACAAAAGAAATAAAATAGGCTAGACATGTGACATTTTATTCCCAAAATGATGATTACCAATAAATCACAGTGTTGGTGCTATCTGGTCAATGTTAGACACACACCGATAGATGAAACTTTACATCCCCGTAGTATTTTATCTCCTAGGTACATGAAGGAGAGTGAAGGGGATCGGGCCAGGGCACAGCCTGTTCTACCCCTCTACAAATGGTTCGTATTTCCTAATTGCTGTATGTGTGAATGTGTATAGACAGGGTGCTGGGGGTACCCGGCCAGGGCTCAGCGTTGTGGGATCACGGCAGCGGCGTCTGGCGTTGTAATCCGTCGATTCGAGTAATTTATTTGACAATGTTTCTGATGGAAACGGAAAGTGCGTTTGATACCCTGTTCCCTTGGATATATAAATTATTGTACCCATGGGACCGCCAGCCTTATGGAATTAGGAAGTCTGCATGCATGGAATTATACCAGAGTAATTATAAACTCATGCGCGGCTACATGACTCACCGTGCTGGTGACAGCTTTTCATAATTCTGGGACAAAAAAATTGGAAAACTTCCGTCACATTTCGCACGGCCACCTCTCTAAAGCGACGAAGGTGCGGTACTTTGGGGATTGAGGTTAGCGTGAGTTATTCTATGTAATTACGGGCTATTCACATGCTAATTTACCTGGTCTACCATTCGGGGCAACCTGTTTCTGTTAACTTAGGGCATAGTTTCTTGTGCATGAAACACCTGTTGCTTCATTCAATACAATTCAGCAAGAAGGATCTGTCACGGTGTAAAGCGGATAAGCCAGAAATGGGGTGAAATTTAAGCTTGAATCTGTTCTCCCAATCACGTCAGCAACAGCCCCTTATATCGCATCATGAAGGTTCGTGATCTTTGCTCTTGACTTTATAGACTTTAATGAAGTATTTCACGCAGCTTCACTTAACAAGCAGTTTCATGTAGTCCGGACGTGCTACAGGATTTGAAGGGCAATCGTTAAGCCCCGATAGTGATAGAGACATTTCAATCCTTCCAACTTATAGGCGGCACAAAAGCGACAGACTGACCTCCAGTGGCTTCCCCCTCCCCAAAAATAATTACTCCCTCCCCTGAAAAACTCTTTCTGTTTATCTTATCTTGCACTATCATCTGAACAGGCCAAATGCAGAGAAGGGGTGATTTGTAGTGTGTTCAAATCACTCTAGACGGCGGCTAAGTGTGGCGTCAGACAGAACGTTCCGGTTCACCAGCGGTTTGGGAGCTGTAAGGGAGGCCATACTGCAAGGGGCAAGCGTGGTAAGGCGCCCCATGCCATCCGCGGGCAGTGACACGCAATGGTTTTTAATTGTCGGAAGACAGTTATCATCTTGTTTGACACGGAACAGATTAGTAGATAAACTCACTTACTACTACCAGCTGAGGTTGTTCCAGGCCGCTGATGACAAGACCCAAATGCTAGAGGTAATTTCAAAGTTGATTTCGACCCTGCCACGGATAACACCCATGCAGTTGCCAAATAACGCCCTAATTATGTAATCGTATCATTTTGATCAGTACTTTTCACTCATATTTGATGTCGATGGCTGCACTAAACAGAATTTTTTAAAATGGACGAATAAAAATATAATAAAATTCATTATAACACTAAGTTTGTATTGCAAAATCAATAATACTTGTATAATCACAGATAAAATCTTTAACACTAGAAGTTAGATTCTTGTTCAAAAACAACCAGTGAACTGTAAAATGACTCAACTCAGTCACTATCGTGAGTTAAGTCCTATTGACTAAGTATCAAACCCTTGACGCCGCAAGATACAAAGGATTCAAGATGGCTTTTTCATGAAGTAACTTTGAAATTAAAGGGAATATGCAGTGGACAATACAATCGAGATTTAAATATTTCCTTTTATTGAAAGTGACAAGCTGGCGATAATTTTTTCCTTCATCAATACATGTACATTTTAGAGGGCGCTATTTTCTGTCACACAACGCACTACTTGTCCAAAAAAAAACACAAGAAAAATACAGACTCGAACAAAGAAATGTTGGTCATTACTATTGTCTACACAAGCCATGTAACAATTTAAACGAGCAAAAAATAGAACTTACTCAAAGAAAATGTAAAACGAGTAACATACAAAAGAGGTATGGAGCCACTGCTATTTGCTTTGGATGACATCGCGCTTTAATTCATGAATATGGAAAGTCATTTCCATATAAACCAACACGTTTCCGTTTCTCCCTTTTTCTGCCTCAAAGGAGGTGAAAGATCATAGTAACTTTGCAAGAAAGCTCCCATGCATGCATTCAAGTAATACAAATCACATTTCGTGTCTCCTTTAAGGAGCACTGAGCTATTAGGGTCACAAGCAAATGACAGTCATTGTGCTGGGGGTGACTTTAATTTCGGTTGCTGCATACAGGTAAGCTATAACAGAATCAAACACTTAAAATTGCGCCAAAACCTTTTGAACTTGGGCAAATGTTAAAACGCGGAGGTACCGTTGCGCAGCTGATATGCTTGTTGAAAAAACATTAAAATATACACATACAAGTCATATGGCTGGTTTTAGTCCTTGTTTGAAAAGGATTAAACTCATTGCAGAATATTAAATGCGTAACTCGTGGGGTGCTTAGACGTTTCTTCAGCTCATCGTTAATCAGTCCCCAAAGACTCATGAACGCTCCAATTAAGAGGGTGAAAGAGACCCCATCAATACATTCAATAGCGGAGGTCAAGTCGACGCATTTGAAGGACACTATTATTAGTAAAATGGATATCTATAATCATTATGCCCCCGTATAAATTTCTGCGGTGTGAGAGGGAATCCAATGATTAAATTTATTGTATCATTACCCAGTGGTTGGCGAACTACCGCTGTCTACAGGGAGCAGTTTAGATGTTCTGCCTTTTTTCCATCTTTTTTGTCCAGAGGAGTGCGGTGATCGTAAAAATACGTCGCGGTGACCAGGTCTCAAGCTACCGCAGCCCGCTAATAAGTATGCAAGGTTCACGGAATGGTGTCATGAGTGCCACACGGTGAGGTGATGCACCAGAGTTGCAGGATACTTTTAGAGTATTTTACGACCAGTTCAGTTTTGTTTTGCCGAGCGTTGAAGCTCCCGTTGTTATCTTAACCCGGGAGACCCCCATATTTTTTTATACCACTTTCGGTGAATACTTAGTAAATTTTACGAGGCCCTTTGGTCCTGTTTAGTGGGATTTTGTTAGGGCACGACCGAAACGAGAATGTCCATATACTTCAGGTTTAAAAACGCCATTAAATACATCAATCTACATGTGCCTTATAGAGTATACTTTACATGCATGTGGGCTGAACATACTGCGGCATGGAACCATCGTCATTCAATCTCCTACATTTCGGAATTGTGACTTGTTCCAGAGTTACACATTCTTGGGTTTGATTTGGGGTATATGCCAATGCCAGGAAACGTGAATATAGGCCTACCTGGTACCTGAATATGAATTGCCTCTTTCTGTCGCTGTTCCCCCCCATCACGTTTCATCTGAAGTTGTTGAGACATACCGCTTTCATTAGGCCTACTCGTATATGAAATACATCTACGCACCCCAGCCTCAGCGACACTCACAGCCCTATAGGTCTACTTCAATCCATCCCCTCCCCTTAAGCCTACTAACACATGCATTAACTTGATGAGTTACAGGTTTCTCATTTATAAGCCTTGATTTTAGTGCATAAATGTTAGAAATAAAGAGCTGTTTGGCACAATATCCCGATTTCGCAAACCTTTTTTTCAACAGATGCCCGAAAAGTAACAGGAAGCCCAAGTAGACTTCTGACTAAATATCACGCATGGCATATACATGAAGGAAAATACATGTTATAATTCATAATACTTTTAGCTAAAACAAAATAATAATTTGGAGTTAACACTGCGTGTCACTTAAGCTGAGGAAACCCTCTGCCAGAGTTTGTGCCTAATCGCGGAAACAACTCTGTCTTTGAGGCTGCTCTTTTGGACATTTAATTTTTCCCCCAGAATTTCAACCACATTTTTAAGGTATAAGAGATAAAAGGCACTTGGAGGTAACCACCAACGATTGACAATCATACGAAGTTTGAAGCACGCCAGAGCTTGGACCACGAGACTACGCTACAAAGTGTCCTTGTTAAGAAAGTTCCCACACAACTATGCTCAGTTATGTTCTGTAAATTTAAACCAACAAAACTAACACTGACTTAAGGAGGACCTAGTTCTGAAGCACTGTGCTCCTTCAGTAAATCTTTCAAGAATGGCGCCACTTTCAAAAATTGCTAATCAGCGGCAACACAACTTGCATTCCCGACTGGTTGCTAGGAACATCGCCCTCTGTTGGTGTAGAATAAGCGTTTCAGTTGGCCTCATTTGCGAGTAGTCCACCAATCTCATCTCAACTTATAGGACCTACTCCGTTAGCCTGCGTGAATGGAACAAAAACAAGTAGTCAATTCATTCTTTTTTTTCAAGCCCTCGCTCCTTACTATGTTGGACACAAACCAGTAAGATCTGTTCTTCAATTTCAATTCTGATCACGGCATGGAAGACTAGTAACACGGATAATAGAACTACTTCTACGCCAGTAAATTCAACTTCAGCTGTATACTTTCACGGCTAATTACAGTTTCATCGGCACAAAAATAATCAAGTCATGTGTTCGCTGGATGATATTTTAATCAATATAAACATTCCCTTCCATAAAAAGACACGTTATTGAAGCATGTACTTGACAATCCATATCTTAAGTTTCAAAACCGCCCATCCCAATGTGGACATTAAAAGGTATAAAATAATGCCAGACAATAGAGGTACCAGTACATGATAATATGAGATTTTTAAAAAGCTTTAACAAGATCAATTGACGCTGAAAGTCATGTCAGAATAAAGCCTTAATGTATCCCCAAAACGGACCATTTGGTGTCCGCTTCTGACCGCCGAGTTCCAGTTAACGAGGTTACCTACGAAGCTGCACAGATGAACGAACATACTTTCCTGTCATCTACAAACACACATATATGTTACAGAGTATCAAATAAAGGTTACCGCGGCAGATGAAAAAATCCTAAAATAAGAGGCAGCTTTAAGAGTTAAGAAATATGAATACACGTGCATTCTGTTGTTTCAAATGAAGCAGTCATTTTGAGCGATGCATCTTTTCATTATCGTACTCCATTCAACATACTTTTCGTTGCAAATGAACGAGTGTCGGTAGAGATTTTGAAAAATTATGTTAAGCACAATCACCTGCTGACAGGTAAGAGCGAAATGTATCAACACTACATCCTTCAAACATTTCTTCGTATGCCCATCCAAGTTAATCAATCTGCTCAAAGAAGAAGTGAATTGATATTGTTGCCTAAACTAATAGGAAACTGGAAAAAGAAAGTTAAGGGGGGAATAGTGACCACTTTGCCATTCAAAGAAACTGAACTTATGATAAACCTGAGGCAACGATTAACAACTGTTTTAACTTTTAATATTGCAATTTAAAAAATAAACCTTTCATAAAGTGTTTCCCTATCCTTTTTCATGACAACAATAAAATGTAGGCTTGATAAGCACTCTTACAAATTTATTTACATTTAAAACAAATGAACACAAAGTTAACGGTGCATATAAAATTTTGCTCGATGTGGTCAAAGGTCGTAGAAATATCACCATGTACACTGTATTTATCAAATTCAAACAAAATGCAGCTGCTTGTGTTTTGTGCAGTAACAAACGAAACTACTGCAATTACAATTCCAATAAATTTCCTTTTAGTTGTTGAAAAAAGACCTCTAAAATTAATTACTAGAATTTTTTAAAGTGATAATGGTGACAAATCCTGTTCAATAGGTGGTTTCAGGGACCACTACATTTACATTGGGCTGATCTCGAATGACTTATTCAAGCAACATTACTAATTTGAGAACCTGCCCATTTTTATTCTTTTTTTTGGGGGGGGTGGTAGGTGTGGGGGCCGTTTACTTGCCATCTCCGATTGCTTTTTTAAAATGGTTCTGACTTCAGATCTTCTGATACCAGACTACTCAAATGGAATGAAATAACTGTAAAGCGTCGATTTCAGCAGCACTCGTTTGAAAAACTTGTCTCTGGGCTATGAAGAAAACAATGCCATTACTTTAACAAGAAGCCAAACAGAGATAGATGCAGGCATCTAAACTGGACTTTCTAAACATTTTAACAGAGCAGGCTCCTAACATTTTGTCCATGGGTAATCAACCAGCTTGGTGAACAGAAACATTTGCAAGACTTTCGGAAGGCTTGTAAAGACATTCTTTACAAGTTTAAAAATATACAGTACACGCGTCTTACACGTGCCAGGGCTCAATAAATTACTTAACACACTCGGCAATGTTGCCAAACAATTTAATATATTACAGGATCTTTGCCGACCTTTCTACAAATGAAAGCAGACAGGAATGCCTCATGGACACTGGCATCATAAATTCTGGACCCTTTTTTCTTCAATTTATATTGGTAACTTTTTCAGTGGAACGTTCAAAGAGCGTAAATTTTTCAGGATATATGACTGAATTTCTTGACACTTTTTGCTAAAAGTGTCAAAGCTTTTCCTATGCTAAATAAACAAATTTTGGAAAAAGCGACAGTGTTGTTGCAACATTGATGAGATAAAGCACCATTAGGTGTTGATTTAAAGATAACTAGGCAAGCCCCAGGATCTTCTGGGTAGTCTCATATGGTCAACTCCGCTCTTTGTGCTATCTCTTCTTGGTCATTATCTTCAACCAAAACTCATCAATTTTGTTGCACAAAGACTTTGGGAGCCTCTAGGGATCAAGCAAGGTGAGGCACGTCCGTCGACAAATGGTAATCAATCAACGTTTGCAGGGCATCTTATTGCAACAAAGCTCTCAAATCTTTACCATGAAGGCATCTAAGATAGCTCTGTTCTTGGTTGAAAGTAGTCTGGCAGGAGTCACATGTTGATTCTGATGTGTCACTTGACAACACAACTTCCCTACACCTGGATACAGATGGTAGTTTCTTACGATAGAATGTGATCACTGAAATCATTTTACTGATGTGAGAGTTTCACACTCATTGGGTGGAAAGTAGGAAGGATGAAACCCCGTAGATAAAAGCTGTATTTTACTTTGCATATATATAAGAAATCTTTTGCAGAAATAACATCCATTATGAAACTTCCTATCTCTGTAGGAATTTCACTTTTTTCCAAAGTGGACGACTTACATCACAAGAAAAATAAGAACTTATAACAAGCATCTCTGCCATTAATAGATGAATATTTTGCTGATGCAGCATCAAGTCAAAAATCAATAGAACATCCCACAAAAGGTAAAACACAGATAATTTTCTATCATACATTTTTAATATCTACAAATTGACCTCCACCTATCTCTGAGGGCAGCTACCATCTCTGAGGTGCAATGTGACCCACAAGGTAGATGTTGTCATAGAGATGACCAGAGAGCTCATCGTTAGCTTCCCGTGTGGCGTTCCGCACATTGCGGATGAACTCTCGCTTGGACATCTTGTTTTTGACATGAGGGCTTGTCAGGTCAACAGACAGGAGGATCAAGGAGTAACACAGGATGCAGATCCCATCTGTTCACAAAAATTAAATTTCATGTCAAAATTTTCAAAAGGGTACAAGAAATAACTAGTAGCAGAGCAAAAGTAGCATTTGTGCCATCTACAAAAATTACATGTTAAATATTTAACCTTTTTTGGGGGGGAGTAAATTTAAAGAGCCCCAATTTCTCTTCCCAACATAAAAGTGGATACTCTTGATCAACACTTCAGGACAGGTTGTTGTCTGGGAGCAAAGACTGTGACCTTAATAACAAGTCTGGTGGTACCTTTATGACCATCTGAAAGACCTTTCCATTGGACAAGATGTTTACAGAAACCACCAAAATTGCCATAAAAAATGGATGTCTACTCCCTCTGACTGCCCCCCTTTTCCGCTCAGACTTCCAGGCAATGGTTTCTAACAGAACTGACACCCTTAAGACCTAACTTCCCCTTTTGCTGCCGACAGTTCATTTCTGCCACGTGTTTGCGTGAGTGTGTGGTTTGGCAGGTCACTGGACAGTAACCATAAATTACCAGGGAGGTCAGCATCTGGGAAATTAAATCAATCCTGACCAGTGTATACCTACGTCGCTGATTTATGACTGAACTACTCATAAATCAATCACAATTCTAAAAGAGGTAGAGGAATTTTATACACCTTGGTCATTGCTGATATTCTGCAATTCTTTATACTTGGGAGTAAAATATCAGAGGTGAGCAGTTTTGGAAACTTCAAGTTTCAGTAACTGAAATGGAATGTTTCATGAAGCCCGGTCTCCCTCCAGGGTACATGCCATGTTTCTTGACAGAGTGTTTATATCTCTCCTGTCAAGAGGAGCACTTTTCAACGAAAACTGAAATGCTTGATTTGGAAAACAAATCAAATATTTATTTCTCATTTCTGAAATAATTATACAATTATGGCCCTTAAAATGTATCAGATAGTTTTGGGGATATTGTTGAATCCTTTATAACATTCAAACTGATGCTAATTCTTTTGGTATCCTTGTGGAATGACATTCAAATGTGCATCACAACAATTTTCATTCTGATTAGACAAAGCTCATGATGAAGAGTGATCTCTTAAACATGTTAAATGCAGGTCAACATCACTGAAGTGTAAATTGACACTTGTAAATGAGGCTTTACACCTCCGAATGACCTCTAACCTTAAATGCTGGAAATGATGTCTTGACAACACTTCTTACAAATGAGTGTTCAGCATGACAACCCAAGAAAAATACCCTGAGGCTGGACTGGGACTGAAGTATGCCAACAGAACAATTTGAAAATTGCCGTCAGACAGCAACCACAAGGGACCATGAAGTCACTCATTCATCTATCACTTTCAAACAGACTACCTTTTCATGTCCATGAATGATGAATAGAATTTTTGTGCTCCTCCCACATTTCCAGCATCTCACCATAACAACTAAATAAACAGCACAATGGAAGCCTGGTTGGCTACCGCTGCACATATTCCAGTCTAATAGGAAATTTCTCATTTCAGACTTCTTCAATCATGATTTTGTCCAATTCCTGACACACAAGCCACTACAATCCATCAAATATAAAATTCCCACCAGACCCAAACTTCACTCAGAAAACAAAAACGGGGCGGCAAAGATCCAGACATGGAATCTAGTTAGACACTTTGGGGAATAGACTTTTCAGTGAGGACGTATGAGCTCTGTAAGACATATGTTCCCTTGCCAACAGCAAGTTTTATTTTGCCATGACCACTGCCCTACTTTGCTGGGTTCTTAATATGGAAAGTCAACATATGCACTGGGAACTATCAACCACCACAATTATGATCCAGCCCTTTCTAGTTAGCGGTTAGAGGTGTTATGTGTCTCCAAATCTCAGCTGATCGTACAAGAAATCCGGCCAGCCTTTTGTGGCCAGCAGATAGCGCCCTCTGGAGACACACAGGGGCCTACAAAGTCATCAATTATACCTTTGGACAGGCCGCACTCTGGGTTGCAGCTGACAAAGCGCTCAGCAAAGATCTCCAGGAGTTTCTGCAGCTGGTGGCCATTTTCCCCAGGCGACTGGATGTTGGAGAAGAATGTCCGCAGGGCGTTGGGCAGCAACTTCTGCTTGTAGTCATCAAGATAAACTAGCTGCTGAAGTATGTCTTGTCTGATCACACAAACAACATTTGGACTGTTTAAACTGAACATTTTTCACGTACCTGTCATTGTAAACCAACTGAGAGAACACTAACAATGCCATTCTAGATTTTTGTCCAGAAATGCAACTAAAAATGTCAGAAAAACCCCTGCTAATCTGCTGATTCAAGCTCAAATTTAGTACTAACTAGCATGAACACCCTAATTAAAACATGTCGATTATTGAAAACAAATGAAATCACATCTAACTGAATTCTTAAAGAATTCTTTTGTTTTTGTTTTTTTTTGCTGCTTTGGTGTTTTGATAGATCAACTGTCCAGTACATATATGCGGTGCGCAAATGCAATTTCTGGTAAATTCACCACATTCATTCAAAGCTGAAAAATCCCTCATGCTCACTTCTACCACAATGTAATTACAAGGTCGTCACAGTCTTCGGCAATTAGAGAGAAGCTGCATGAGTTACCTTTTAGTGAGTAGCTGCCTGACTTGATACCTGTCCAGCTTGTTGGTGTTGTGAATAAACTTGGCAATAGAAAGTGGTGTGTCATCAATGATACCATTCTGAATGAAATACTCCAGACCCTAGGACATGAGAAACAATTTCGAAAGTTTCCATAAGAATATGTGACGGTACACTTTTTTCCCAGAGAAAAAAAGAAAAACAGAATAATAACACATTGTTAAAACAACAGAAGACTTTGTCTTTTTTTGTCCCAGTATGACCAATCCAATTATTTGGACAATTTGCTAATGACAAAACATCTGTCATCAGAAACTAATCCAATCACTGAAAAGAAATGTGAATACAACTGAGTATGAAAAGAATAATGGCTTTTGTTATTGAAAAAGATTCTGCTGGGATCGACACACTTGACCCTGACCGTTAAGAAAAAAATACATGTAATTGCAAACTGCATATTTTTTCACAAGTCATGTTATCTATTTTGAGTATAACTGTAGTATGCTTGGCCACCACACTGACAAAAATATATAAAGCTGAATTATTCTTTACCATTACAGCATCTGCATTGAATGTGAGTGATCCTTCATCTAGCTTCATGTAGAGATCCATGAAGCAAAAGCCTGGCTCATTGGCTCTGTCATAACATGACACATAGCGCCATGTTCCACGACATAACCTAAAGGCAAGTCAAGCACCAAGGCAGAAAAAGAACATCAATAATAAACCTGTGCTTGATGCAAATGAATGCCCATTATCAAATGTTAATACACCATCAATTGGCACGTCGTTGAATAGGGAGACTGTCGGAAGTATTAATGAATTTTTATTCAATGTACTAATTAAAAAACAAATACATGTACATGTGAACAAGTACAATGTAAGTTTGTAACGTCAATTGGAAACCACCAGGATCACTCACTACTGTAATTCAATGAAAAAAGTCTTTCCGCCACCACATTAAACCCAAGGAAACTCACCCTTGCCACAGGAGATCATCCCTCGACAATTCTCGCCACAAATGGTTAACACACATAGCTAAACACAGGTCTTCTGCATTCAAGTTGGACAACACCATGTAGGCAAGTTCAGGTGGCATCTCGGTCAAGTCTGGCAGCTTACTTGCTGGGTCCATAAAACTTGGAAGTCGGGATGTCCTTGGGTAATGTTTGTGTCTGCGTGCCTTACGCAAGGACTGTCCCATTGTTCTGTGCTTCAGCTTGCCTGAGCACTGGGCGTCACTCCCGAAACCTGTCCATTTCTTATTACAAAAGATTTGGACTATAACAGATGCAGTTGTTTTTTTTTCCAAACAAACAAGTTCACATTGTTTGATTGGAAATATCCATCGTAATTTCAGAGAAATTGTTCCGGCTGTTTGTTTCTGGTTCATATAAACTCCAGTGTATTACATTCTGGCAGTACTGGCAACTGTAACAGTTTTGTAGTCAACTCCTTTTTCCTTTAAGGTACACCTCAGTTCACATCTTTTTCCCATTTCCTAATGACAGAAAAGGGTGTCTACGATCAGTTCATGATGGCTGGGAATCCAAGTCTTCCGACTGGTACTTCTCACTCCATAACTAGGAACTGTAAAAAAAATCATTTAACAACAAATGCCCTTAGGAAATGTTTGAATGTTTGCTAGCTAATCCATAGAAGGCAGTTAAAAAGTTAAACTGGTTTTCTAATTTTGAGTGCTTATTAAAAATATATACATATGATTAAAATATCACTGCCAGATGTTTGTTAATGTGAAGTATCAAAATATCAAGTTCATAAAAAGACACAATCCCCTTAAGTAGGCTTTTTGCACATCTTTAAAATTAAAGAGACCGAAAAGCATAAACTGATGAAAACAGTGACCTGATTACATGTATCAGAAATTGTCCTAAACAGAAGATGCAAATCTCCTTCAAATAATTAACAAATGATAAAGTCTACATACATGTACAGTACGTACATAAAAATGCGCTACTGCAAACCACACGAAGCACACTCATCGAGATCAATTCACATTCATTTTACAACAGAGGGCATATATGTGGCACGACAGCAATTCACAAAATACCAAAGGCATTCCTGTCGCATTATTGGCAATTCTCTGCAGGTTAGTCTTGGCAATAGGAGGCAAAAATGTCAAGCTTATCTCACAGTCAATGTGCCGCAGGATCCAATAAATCACACTTCACTGGGTGACAGTATATCAATAGATTGTTTTCTCTCATTTCACACAATCTACGCTGACTGTAATATCATGAAGAAGTTTCACGAAGAAAGATTTAATAATGCTATTGCCTAGGGGAATGAGTCCCTAACCATTTCTGTAGAAAAAAATTCAATATGCAATGACACAGAGTTGTTATTCTGCCATTTGACTAATATTATTTCTGACATCAGTTGTATTTATTTGTGTAAGATTTGATCCCTTTACGAAGACTAGAAAAATGACTGAACTATTGCATTTTGCACTCCAAATATTGACTCATACAGTCAATACAATGCAGGGAATAATTTACATTGAAAAAAGATCTTATGTGGCTGATATTTTCATTAGCCTTTCATGTTATTCAACCAATGAGAGATTCAAGAAATCTTCATTAACCTTAACTGCTGAGCATAATGCAAAGAATACACACTTGCTGATTACAACAATACACATGTACATATAAGTGAGCACTGATTCAAAATGATGACCATTCTGCCATCAGCATGTAATGCATACATTTTAACATGCAGATAAACTAGAACTCAGTTTCCCATATGGCAATGCATCAAAATTCCTTACAATACACATTCAAAACCTGAAAGTTTCTGCTTTCACACATCTTCCCCTCAGTTTTACAAATCTACGTTACTTCCAACTGAAGATGATCTTCCTGAATGAAATATTTAAGAAGGAAATATTCAAACATTTTGTACTGACCTGATCATATTCCTAAGAAGATTTAGGATGTGTAATTTACGTGCAGCTAATGCAAATGTTGGTTGCTATACAAATACGATGAATGGGCCCTAATAGTGGCAAACCAGACTATTGGGAGTTTTACTATGCTACATGTACAATATGAATATTTTGCTTAGCTTTCAATGTGTACAGGGGTACTTCGTTCTAAGCATGAGTTATCTAAATACCAAACTCACAACTTAAATGTGCAACTACATGTACATGTACATGTATATGTGCACGGGTTTAAAATGACATGTGTATCTGTATGTAACAGTAGACTAAGGTTTATGATCATAATATAATGTGAAGAAAGTGTTACCTATACTACAACTAGTTACACACTTATTTGTAAGTGATACCACAGAAAATTAATAACTCAGATTTAGGAACAGGAAGTGTATGTATGGGTCATTTTCATATTAATTTGGTTGACTGTAACAACTGCTGCACAATCACAGGAAGGCAAAATATCCGAAGAGTTGTAAGCCCAAAGGTCAAAGGGTCACCGGGAACCAGCTATACAAATGCAGGTGCCACTTTAGACAGTAAATGGAACTTAAGATTTGCAAATTTCATATATTTAATATGAAATATTAATAAAAATAAAACTACTAGTATGATAGTTGGTTACATGTATTTTAGGATAGGATGCAAACATGAAAGTTATGATGCCCTTCTGTAGACTTCAGACCCCCAAGCATACTGCATGCCTCATGTTGGCCCATCATTTCACAATTTATTGTTACAGAATTGGTGTCTTTGGACAACATTTCTAGCAAACAACAAATTTATTTGATTAATCATGTGAGAAAATCTTCATGTGTAGATCGCATATAACAGACAGATCTATATGTATCACTCTGTGGAGATTCAGGTCAACAACTCAGTTTCATGTTTCAAACTGTATAGATTCATTTGTTTCTTCTTTCATTCTTTTCTTCATAATATGGCTCATGTAAAGTTCTTGAACAAAGTCACCACAGATCCTTTACACAGGATTGATGAGCACTGTAAAATCCCCATTTATGGATTTGTGGTGACACAGTGATAGTTCTAGGTCTTGTCTAACATTCTGTAGAAAGCAATACACAGGTATTATTCAAATTCTATTTATTTTTAAAAATCTATGGGATTGGAAATTATTGGTAGGTAGCATTACAGGTACTTTCAAATTCTGGCAAATGTTTCAATGTTTCTTTGTGCTGGACTGAGGCTATTTTGCAATAACTGTTATATCTTCCTATTGGTGTGGTTGTTTCTGAGGAAAAAAGAGAAATTAATCAGCACTGCATCAGTCATTTCAATATGCGGCACCTTGTGTAACAATCCATTGGCTATTGGTCACCAGGTCAGAATTATAATTTTACCATGAGGTCCCCCCCAATACTTCTGCTTCTGTTTTACATGCCTCTCGATAATAGGGTCAATAGGTCGGAAAATTCTGGTGGGGTCAAGTTTTCATGCTGATATAAAATGTAATAGCATGAATGGGGATAAAAGCTTCGAAAAATTGTCTTAGTGATAAACACATATCTTTTATCTATGTGAAATTTTCTACTGTCGACAATCTACAGGAATTATGGAGAATTCACACAATGCTAGTCAGGTAATCATGATGGAAAACTGGCCAACAATGTCCATGTACTGCGGACAATAAACCTTGTGCTACAGCAGGAAATTTTGTGGAAAAATGCTTGTTTCAAGTACCAGCAAAACAACCTCAAATCAAACTTGTGAACACAGAAAATATATACATGTACATAAACAAGAGACGAAGTTCTGTGAATTAACTTGCAGAAATCCTCCTGCAACATCGATGTTTTTTCAACCTCCAGCTGTATGGTTGCGTGAGTGTACGGTAAATGCAGTGTAATCAACCAGGACGTATAAACTGGTTGGCACATTTCCATCACACTTTCTTTTGCATGGGCGCAGCACGGTCGGAACCAGCGCAGCTTTGCTATAATGCATTGAGCTTTGCACACATGCTTTCACCACTGTGACACAGTGGAACTTGTGAAAATAACGAGAGTTTCTTTTCAACAATTGTAAATGTAAGTAGAAAAACATAGAAAAACAAGATGTATAACATTGGAAAGGATTGTTGAATGGTGTTTGTGAAGACAGAAAAGACATTGGGATTTATTTTTTAAAGTTTTTTTAGATTTGTTTTTCTAACTTGCCGATAAAGACTGTCGGGTTGTGCTGAAAAATTAGGATCGGTCAGGAAACTGGAAACAGAAGTATTTTTGGAGGGCCTGACTCTGCATGGGGAAATTTGTCATAATTCTGGAATGGTTCATGCTGTAGAAAAAAACACCCTTAAGCCTGTTTCAACTTCCATGCTCTTTCATGAAAAATTCAACCATCTAAAGCATTCAAACAAAAGCGTCAAATGTTGGCTGCATACAATAGGCCAATCCGCATTCATGATCATTCCGAATGATTGGTCAATCCTTGAATTTTACTTCCGTTTTCTAAACAGTATTTCACAACCATGAATTTGAAAGAAAAGGTGATTGGTTGATGGTGGAATTATTGGCAAATCAAGCCGGAGTGCATGTGAGCGTGCATCGCACCAAAGATCACCGCGAGCCATGTGTGAGATGGCACTTGCTCCACAGACATCATTCACACTGAAACAGTGCGCTCACATGTACTCGGATCCAATGGCTGTTGCTTGTCGTTCTTGCCTTTTGGGCATCAATAATGAGGAGCCCTGTGATTGGTCACTGTGACCCCCAGTGTGCCACAGCCAACTGGCATTTCAACCAGTCAGTCCAGTTGCAGCTAAGAATTACACACACACATACAGAGAGTGGCAGCAGCCAATTTCCATATCTTGTGTATCGATCGCAGCTGTGGTCAACCATTTGGTCGAAGCTTGTCTTCACAAGTAAACATGTGAACCGCTGGACTCTCAGACACTGAACTGAAAATATTTGCACCTTTTTTTGAATATCGGCGCAGTTTTGGCCCGTTTTTTTTTCTTGGTACAAAGTGTGAAGGTACATGTAAGCTACCATATATACAACTCGGGGGGGGGGAAGGGAGCAGCATTTCTGATGGGTACACAACCATCACAAAATCCCTGTTCATACCCTGTTAAATGTCACGTAGAGCCTGTGGTGAAAAAGGCCTGCTTTCTGTGGGGTTCGTTGGAGCGGAGTGGACGTTGGACCCCACAGTTCTGGGCGTAACCTACAGTGGGTATATTAAATACCAACAAACACATCATCCACCAAAAGCAAAGTATTTCATAAGTATCATTTACCAAAAATAAAGCCCACGGTAGGCACTGTACTCAGACTACTGATGTGCTGGATACTATACCGTACATTGGCTTTACTGTTTGTAAACAATACTCAAAAACACATTGATATGGGGTTAATACCCACTATAAGTCACACGATTTAGTGGGTGCAATCAGTCTACTCCAGTTTGACATTGTAATGGAAAAGTACTTTGGAACTTAATTCTATTAGGCGGTTAAGAAATGCAGTTATTATTATTATTTGGGATACAGATATTTCAAATTGTACAGTGTATTTTATTTCCCAGTGTAAATGTATATTGTAAACTAGATTTAAGCTTTCAGACTAAATCAGATGAAAATGACATTATTTCTTCAAACTTCAGGGTTAATTTTGTAGAAAGAGGGCAGGGTTTGATTTTTGAGGGAAATTATGGGGTAAAAACTGAAGAATGATGACATCAACACAGACTATGTACGCACGCATCCTCTGAAAATAATATGGCAATAATGTCAAGACATGCTGGATGGATTGGTAACAGAAAAGTTTCATTAGAAAACCGATCTCTGATTGGTTGAGATCAGCCACTTGGGGAGTAAGTAAGAGTATTGAAAATAACAGCCAGACCGAGTGTGCATGCATCCAGTAACAATCAGTGACACAATATCACTATGTAGTGATATTGTGTCACTGATTGTTACTGGAAAGTTTCCTTAGAAAGTGGATTTCTGATTGGTTGGAAATATGGGAAAAGCAGATGAGGGAGTCAGAGCATTGAAGACAGTAGCCCCACATTGCCAAAGGTCACATGGTCTGTCACGTACGTGTCCAGTTGACCCTGCATTAAAGGTAACAGGCACCTGATTTAATTTCCCAAATGTAACCCAAATAGAGTCATGACAATCAAGAGACATTGCCCGAGTAACACTCTTTTTCAGGGCAGATCATTAGAAGGCTAGTAAAAGTAGCCGAAGTTTACAAACCCCATCATTTGAATGCAAATTTAAAGCCTTTTAGTTTTAAGGATGATCATAATAAAATAATTGGATCTTTGTGAAGTTTCCATGAATCTAAGTAGCTACAGACCATGTGACCATTGTACTAGTGCCACGTCTTTGAAGAGACTAGTCTACTTCTATAACAAAGCAAAACTGCCAGTCCAAATTTGCTATTGCCTGTTTCAAGGCAAGTGGCCAGGCATTGGTTATGTGAATGCCATAACTAATTGACTGTGAAGAAAAAAATGACAGTCTATTTGGACAAATGAACAATTAACAGAATGTTAGTTAGGCTACTTTTTTATTTACATGTAAGAATATCAAAGACAAGAGTCGTCACCTGGTCACCTGAAGAATTCGTGTGCTAACCTGGCTAAGATAAAACATGGCAAGATACGAAAAAAGTGCGTGATTCCGACAAAGCTGTGCAGAGAATACTTTACCATAGTTCCACTGGCATTTTAACGCTGTGCAACTCCAGTCTATCTCATACAAATTTAGTGTTTGGAGGCTGATCTTTCTTTGACCACTGTACTTTTGACCATCTCTCGTGCTGTGAAAATTCGTGTCTACATATACCCTCAGTCAGGTAACCATCCCTTCTTTATGCAGTGATTGGCATGGTAAGGTGAAGTGCCAGACACAGTTGATGTAAACACGAATGACACTACACAAATGACGTGGACACGCTGGAAGTTCACAAAACTTTGAACCTTCACTGTTTACAAAGAATTTCATAATAAATCATGTATTTGGCAAGCATCATTGCTGCTTGTTTGAAATAATGTCTAACTTGACAGTAAAATTCCAGATGAATAGACAAACTCCTCCAAGTATTGACCAATCAGAATCGTGACCTTTGATCACCTGCACCATGGTCATGTGACTTGCAGCAGGCGCGCCATATTTAAACAAACAAGCATCAGCAGCTAGCTAGCGCTAACCAAAGAGTTAACTGCTAACCCCCACCTGCATGACCTGAACGTTACTTCCTCAATTTTCGCCTGGTACTTGTCAATCTTTTAACTGCTTTTGGCTGAGAACGGTATGTCACAATAGTATTCATATAAATAAGTGATTGATCACTGAAGAAAATAATGACAGTTGGGCCTAATGATTGTTCAATATAGTTGATGAAAATACTTACTAGGCCCGAATTAATGTTCGTCATTTTGGTTTGTGCAATTCTCGCGGTTGGTATGACGTCAATATTATGTCCCTTTGCTGTGTGTTAAAAGTCCATAGTGATGTCATGCAGACCGCAAGAATGGAACTTTTTTTTTATTATTCTATGGCACAATCATCAGTATATGCAATGTTATATCCAATGACAAATGAATAATAATACTGCAATACTAATAATAGGCCTACCCCTAGAACTCTTGGCCGCCGTCCGGCGCTCTTCCACGAATATGAGAGCGCAGATGATGAACCTCCGAGTTCTAGGGGAAAGGTAAATATAAAACTGACTTAGGCCTAACCTTAAATACTTAAGGCCCTTAGCAACATTAGCCTTTGATTGAATTGTCATCAAGTTGGTTATGCCTTAATTTTTGTGCTGGCTGCTTTTTTTCACCTAGTGCTAGAGATGATAAACAACATCATCTAGGCCTAGTTGCTGACACTCTTATTCTGAACTTGTTTTAAATTCGTTTCCAATCTGTTTTAAATGTTTGACATTCATGTTTTGTTGTACAGATATTAAACTATGGCGACAGGAGACTTGAAGAACAATTTAAGATGTCTGCAGAGCAAGTTGAAACTCATCAACTATCCCAAGGATATGGACATGAAAGGGTGTGTGATTCCTTCCAAGAGTTGTTTGCGTGGATTCAGTTGCAATTCTCCACACATTATACATGTACATGTCTGAAGAGATTTTTTCACATTTCAGGAGAGAATGTTAATTTCTAAGACCACATTTTCTTCATGTATTATCTCATTGCAGGTCAGTTAGAAGGTTTGAACCTAAAACAGATAAAAACATTTCCAATTCTTTAGAAAAATTCTAACACCCTTAACTTAAATCACCTGAATTCACCTTGTCCATATTACTTTCAATTGTCATTCTTACCTGTGATTTGCTTCACGGGGGAGGGGGGGTAAGTAGTACAATAACTCACAAATGACAGAATGGTTAAACTTTCATTGTGTTATTTGTGTCTTCAGGATTTCCAAAGGTTTAGCTCAAGAGTTTCTGCCTCTGTTACATTATATCTTGTTGGATTTCTCTCATCCCATGGCTGGACACATCATCAACAATGACATACAGCTCTATGGCAAGAGTGATGACAAATTCTTGGCAGCTGTGTATAAAGTGAGTTTGCAGTCTGTACCTGACAACCAATCCTCAACTTTTATCAATCATTTGAACCATCTTTTTGCTACTGATTTTTCTCCAAACAAAATGCATTATTTTGTGTTATGTGTAAATTGGTTTTGGTGATGGAATAAAACTTGTAAACTGTTAATGGATTTTTCCAGTTATTTAAAACCTTAACTATGACCCAACAAGTTTTGGATAACTACTACTGAGATTTTCCTTTACTAAGTTTAGGTTCTTCGAGACATTTTTCACTACAAGCCCTCTATCACTAGACAGCAGTTCTTCAGTCGCGGCTTTGCAGAGCACAAAATCATTCTAGTGGTTGATTTGATCCGAATGGTGAAAGAGAAACACAAGGAATTGTCCAAAGGTACAATAGCGGCCAGAACTGTATCAGGAAGCTGCGCCAGACTGCAAGGTACAGCCAGCCAAGGTACTTGTATGTCTGACAAAACAGCTATTTAGTAGTGCTGTTAAATCTGTCTGTTAGTCCATTATATAGTCTTCAACTGAGACATAAATGTTCATCTTAACTCTCCAGGGTGTATGTAAAATTACATTGGAAATTGGGGAATTGAGGACTCTAGCATTGGTGAACAACTTGTACAAAATTATGTTAATCTTGTGTACTTATGGTCAGTGCTATATTAATAACAACTTAAACATAGAAATATGCGAGAGAGGTGTGGTACATGTAAGGTCACACAAGTACAGTAATATACTCTTTAATGCATGCAAGTAGGCACTATTTAGTCTTGAGACAACTGCCTATGCATCCATGTTTTGGTTTCATATTAGAGGATTTGTATTTATGGATACCACTGCCTGTATTACTTTGATGATCAATGAAAATGTTGCCTTTGGCAACTTTATGCAGACTCTTTAGAAGCCAAAGGAAGTTTGACTTGAACTCTTGGTCGTAAACTTGTCTTCTGAATAGAGCAAATTGCATCTATCAGATCAGTCGTTGACTCTGACCAGCCAAGGACCCCCGATCTTTTAGCAGCATCCACCAGTGAGACACCTGTCTTCCTACCTGCCAGTCAAGAAGCTTCTAAGGTCATTGAGAAAGACACTGGCTACAATACTGCCGAGACCTCACCAACCAGTAAGATTGCTGAAGACCAGGTGAGACTTTGGCAAAGTATACTGAATTTTGTAGACGAGATCATTCATTCTTCACGCTCAGTACAACATGCTATCATTAATTCTCATGCCTCATTATTGTAGAACAGAGAGACTTCAATCTTAAATGTTTGACTTCAAGCAAGATTCTGCTGGTACAGTGATGTTAAACTTCCTGATTTCATGCATTCATGCCATTTCATTTGTATTTATTAGCAGCTTGCAATCACTTTGTCATTTCTTTATACCGTTACTAAGAATTATTTTTGAGTTGCACCAATTGCCGTGTTCCCCAGAGTAGCCCCATGAACACATATTCATTCAGTGTTTTTTTTACTTTTGGGGTAGGGTGACGCAAGGAAAGCATCAATATCAGTAAATGAGCTGCGTGCTAAGTTTGAGAGCAGCAGTTTGCAAAAGCAAGAGAGTGTGGACAGTAAGCTGGTAGGTCTGTTCCTCTAAAGGTCTATTGTTGTCTCAAGAATCACCTCCACTGTAGTGTAGCTTCGTATGCTGTTTACAGCAGCTTTCTTTTACTGATGAAAATAGTAGTTTGTCTACAGTAGTTTCTAAGACTGGCATTTGGCTGCAAAGAATTTGAAACTCAGCACCAAAATGTGTGTTAAAAAATTTACAAAATACAGTTTTCTACCAACATTGCAAGTCCACAGAATAATGGCCCTTCTGTGTATTATGTCTCTCATGTAACTAGTTATGTTTAATAACATATGTATAAATTGGAGCAATAAATGTACGATAAATCTTGCTTAATTATTCATTCTTCCGTAATCCAGAGTGACATGGATATCGAAGACAACCCAGTCATACAGGCACTAGTTAAGCAGATTGTTCATTTGGAGGACCAGTTGACAGACATGTCAGAGGAAATAAAGGCATGGAAGGTGCAGGTTGAGAAGACGCAGAGCGACATGCAAGCACGTTTGGTTTTGATGCAGAACAGCGTTACACTCCTGGAAAGCAAGGTAGTTATTTTGATGATGCTCTAACTCAAGTTTCCACAGTTTTGAATGATAGGATAAACTTTGCAACAACATTTCAGCATGTGTTTGCAGAGTTACATCAGTGAAACTGCTGCTGTTTCATTCTCACTGCCACTGCTACTTCTAAGATTTCAACAACATAGTGCCTGTGTATAAAACAATTCTTGAAATCAGTTAAATTGCATGTGTTGCTCCACCAGTCCCACGTTTGCCTCCTCGTCAGTCAAATTTTCTGTGTGTGTTGGACTGCAATGAATTTGTGACTTTGTTCTTTTTCATTTGTCATTTTGTTTTATGCCAGTTGACAACTGAGGCAGCAGAAGCAAAGCCAGTTCGATCGGCACTGACACAGGGCATCGCCCATGGTGGGTCCAACAATTGATTTCTGCTGACATCACAATGATGTCTATTCTCAATGATTCACTGTTACAACAATGTCTAACTAGGATACACAAATTTTTCTTTGATTTTTTTGTTTGTGTTTTTGGCAGATATTACTAAGGCTTTACAGCATCCATTCCACAGACGACCAGAGGATGTACCTCTTCCTGATTCACCGGCCATTCCGCGTACCCCCAACCAAACTCCTGCAGATAAAACTCCGCATTCTCCCCTATCCATTTCTGCTGTTATCCCAGAGCAAGATGTTCTGGCTGCATGCAAGGTAGACCTCGAACCTGAGCACGATGACATTGCACAAGGGATACCCCAGAGATACCAACCCAATGGGAGGCCCATCTCTGTAGTTGGCCCTATTCAGTCTCTGGTTATCAGCAGCACTGAGTCTAATGATCCAGATGTGGTCACCATTCTTGGGGCCTCAAGTCGAAGTCCCGTGGACATGAGATGGATTCATCCCAGCTCGTCTACACCTATCGAAAGCACTGCAGGCAATCAAGGTATGGAAACAGGTGTCATGGCTGCCATAGAACCGGGGGAAGATCCAACATCAAATGACGATGACATAGACGAAGGACTTGTTGATGTGGAAGACGGTGATCTTGGAGACTACATTGTGGAGTCCGTGAGAGATTACAGCCATGAAATACAAGAAACTGGTGACAACATATCTGAGGCTAATGAGGCAGAAGAGGTGAATCTTGAGGAGGAAGAGATTGACGAGGTAGCAGTCAGAGACAAAGGACAGGCAGATGCATCTGTGGACTTAAAGAATGCAGCGAGTGTTTATAGCCAAGTACAGAAAGTGCAAGACATGTAAGTACACTGGACAGCAAAAGAAACTTGCCACTTCTGCCACTTCTGTCAAAGGCCACACATAAAAATTCACTCCATAGAAATCAACACTTTTTGTACACAGGTATGCTGCAATGCCCCTTACAATCACATGCCCCAAAGCAAGTGATGATCTTTGTAATCAAGGAAGAAATTGACGTGCACAGCAACTTAGTTAATATCACCTTACATAAAACATCTGGATGTTGTAATTTGAGGTCATGAACATGTAATGCAATGAAGTTGAATCTAGATGAATACTTATGTTACAAGTTCTACACAGCCCGAATTGACAAAGAAGAGTACAGCTAGTGAAAAGCTTTTCAACCACTCTTGCGAATGCAACCAGCAAAAATGTGAAATCCATACATTGTAATTCATATCAGTCCCACATGCTCCGTTATCTTGCACCAATCATACCCAACCCTTAACACACACACACAGCAAGTTCCCACAAAGGACCATTATTATCATATAAAAGCATGCCCTCTCTTCTCACGTAGTGACCGTCATATGTTTTGGATAGTTTGCCTTATTTTTGCTTGTTTTGTATGCAATTAGAATAAGGGGCCTAAATGTTTTATTTCCTTGTGTTGCAGGTTGGTGAGCACTCAACAGATGCTGGCCATGAATACTAGTCTGACCAAACCTTCCCCTGAAGATGTCTAGATTTACACAGTTGAAAAGAGAAAAGGTTCTGACCAGGCTAATGGAAACAAAGCAAAAAGAAACCAAGTGTGCTAGCTAGACTCAAAGAAATTAATACATGTAGACTTGGGCAATGCTAAACTTTCTGCAAAGAAAGCACGCAAATTGCAGAACAAAGTTTGGCAACGAAAGTTCATTGGTGAATATGTTGTTATATGTACATTTGATTGGTTAAAGTTTTTCTGAAAAAAATTATGATGGTAAGTTCTCTAATTAGCATCCATGATGTGGCCATAAACTAAGAAATCTTGTCGTAACTACTTCTAAAAAGACCAATAGATATTGTTTTGTTTCTGAAAAAACAGAAATCATAAAACAAATTCAACAGAATTAGAATTTATGTTAAAACCACTTTATTACAGTAATAAGACGTGTAAACTAAAATAACAGCAAAAACTGAATCCCAGTATTTGTTTTGAAGATGGTCCATTATTATCTTGTTATAAAGAAAACTACATTTCAACCTTCTCGTGTTTGACTTTGGTGTTTGTTAATAACATAAGTGTTTGCTAATAAAAAAATAGAAATCATTCGGCCAATTGAAATTTGTTAAATATCAATGGAATTTTGATTGCAAATGTTATGAAAAACTATTCAGCTTGTATGAGTGCACAGCATTCTTTGAAATACAAATGTGTTTACAAGAAGTTCCCTGCAGGTTAATTAAGATACTGAAGGATGCTTCTGCTCAGAATTGACTTACTTTACTTTGTCATTTGAGACTTGTTTTTTGTAAAGGTTACAAATTTAGTAATAAATGTGAATTTTGCAAGAACGTTGCTTTCCTCTTTTACTTAAATGGTCTAGTATGTGTTGGATAAACTATTTTTCACTCAAAAAGACCTTCTGTTGAATGAACTAGCATTAATGGAATAAAAACCTAAAAATTAAGCACTGAAGTAAATATTTTTATTAAGCCCACAGGGCAAAATCCCATATCAATGTAAATCACAAACAATTACAAGTTGAAGTACATAATTTTAAACAAACTTATGTCTGTTGTTCTGTTTCTCAACTCTGTCCCCTAGTCTTTCCCTATTTTCTGTGTCCAATCAAATGGCTTCCACCATTCTCCAAACTGCAGCACCTTTTGACGTTGGTCATCAAAGTTCTGCCGATGAGGCCTCCTCCATAGCTGAGGTTCCAGATCCAACATTCCGCCAATAATTTCCTGTTGTCATGGAATCCATAAAGAAATATAACATTAGCTCCTGTTCTGACAAACTGCTCCAATACATCAGATACATGAGAAGGAAAAGTGTTACTTTTTGATTTTAATCTTCCTTTCAGTTGATTTCAAATTATTACTCGTCTGACTTGTGAGCATGTTATCCCAGGTGATGGGCAAGAGGGGATCCAACAGGGGACACCCCCCCAAAAAAGTATTACTTTTACTTATGAGAGACAGGCAATACTTTGGGGTCGATTTCATTTCCCCTCCTTCCAAAAGCATGTAGCATTCCCCCCCCCCAAAAAAATTTTGCTGCCCCTCCCCCCCAAAAAACTCACGAAGCCTACACCTCCATATTACAGGAGAGAAATTTCCCCTCCATTTAATACCAACATCCTCCCCAAGAATGTTTTTCATGCTTTGATGATTTTCTTCTACCTTTCCAAAGTAGTGAGGGAACACCTTGTCATCTTCAATGACATGAGCAAAGCCTCCATCCAATCCAAAGTCCACACTGAAATATGGGAAACCTCGTGGTATCTGTGAAAAAATAGCAACAGAAAATCCCACTTTCACAGCTTATGACTTCCAATGATAAAGAAGATATTTTACAGCCGTATTTCACATTGGCACATTCCTCATGCTCAAATTTGACCCTGCTACAAGTTAATGACCTATCCTCTTGCTGTGTGCCTCCCTTAAAAAAAATCACAATGTCACCAAAATCAGTTGCTCTTCTGACTCACACTTTTACGGATATCCTTCTTCCTTGTGTCTACAAGTTTCTTGTTCTGAGACCACTCTGACTCTGATTCCTGGATGGCTTTCTGTATGGGGAGGGAAAAAAGGCAAGGAACAAGACATATGTCAACTGAACCTCATTAAATACTTTCAGCCAAGAGACTTGTACACCTCACACATTAACCACTTCCTGCCTGGGCAGTTATCAATGTTGATGATGCTGGGCCGGGATATTTATCATTTTTTTCTGTTTTCAAAATTCTTTTAAAAATTCCTATCTTCATTTACTGGACATTTACAAACACGTGAAGGACTGTCTGGTGCCCACTCTAAGCCTGACAGACAAAATCTATTGACGCCTGAGTATTTCAGCCAGGCCTGCAGCCTTGTAAAAAGAGCCCAGATTGTGCGGTGTTATCTAACTTTCTTTTGTTCACGAACCTGCCACAGTGCGCTGCTGAACTCTTTTCAATAGGGGCCAGATTAGCGTGCAGCGGTGCTGTGTGGCTCATCGCTGCGGTGGTGGAGCGCTTTTGTCCCCGGTGGTAATCTGCTCGCTCTAAATGCCCCAAACCGAGGTATACTGTTTCAAAACAAGGCTTGATAATCTCCACTTTTGAGAGTGAAAAAATGGTTATTCCCAGCAGCCTGGTCCTTTGCTCCGAGTACGGTCTTTTATTACAAGGCCCTGTTCCCTTTGTCTGAGTTCGGAGACCCCGGCCATGCATATAAAGCATACGCGTATGGATCCGGAATCCCCGGCAGGGAGTGGTTAAAGCTTTCCCAAGTTCTTGCATGACAAATTACTATTGAGCTAAGCACTGTTCATCAGAAATATTAACAGAAGAATACTTTTCCCAAAGATTCTTTCTTTTGAAACAATCAGTCATACCTTGAAGTAAATTGGGGCCATGTCTCCAATATCTTTAGGCAATGGCACACATTCCATCACCATGTGTCTGTAACCTCTTGGGTTCATGCAAGTCTCCAAGAAAACAGCATCTCTTTCTTGATCTTCAAACATCTTAGTCAGGCCCTTGCGATAAATCTACAGACACAGCACCAAGAGAACAGTAAGTATACAGCCTTCAAACTCCCTTCTGTTGGTATGAAGTGGTATTAATTTCCACCCCTTCCTTATAAACAATTAGACTTCCAGCTGAATATCTAGGCTAAATGTAATGCTTTGTAAGCATTTTTCTACTGACAGAATCACTATTCATGTACATTTACACTGTAAGTAGAAAATGTGGGATCAAACAAATTCAAGCTAGCAAGAGACATTGATGCACGCACAAGCATCAACTACCAGCAATGAACTGCAATAAATCACCACTTTCTTTTCTGTGGAAGCTATTAAAAACCAACAATTGATGATCAACCAGACCTGTACTTCATTCCAAACATCTTCATCGAGGGCTGTACTGGCTACTGTGTGCTGCATAGGTACAATCAGACAATGACCGTCTGTCAGAGACTGGCTGGCTGGTAGACACAAATACACCTACAAAACAAATTTCAAGCAACCGTCAAGATAACTGAAATTGCCAACAGTAGTTAATGAACTTCTGCCCTGTTGAGCACTGCACAACCCATATTTTCCAAAACTGCTGATGAACTAACAGGCTAAGCAGTTTCAGGCTAAAACAGTGCAGACTGGGCCTAACCAGCCTTGTTTTGATTATTCGTGTTTAAAAGTAAACTTATTTTTTTCCAGTGAAAAAGAAAAAATCAAACTGCACCTAAATGTTTCAGACATGAAACACCTTAGAATACCTAAAACACAATAAAAACACAATATCCTTCTTCCAGAGAAAGGCCTACCTTGATTCCCAATGCTATGATGAGGTGTTTCTGCATCTCAGGACTGTCAAGACAGAAAGGACATATGGACATGGAAGCAGCCATCTTATGATGTTGACTAACAGCAGCCGCTTTGTGTCTTTCCTCCTCCTGACTGCTGGATCGTTTGTGTGCAGCTGCAGACACAAACATGTCATCCAGGGTGTGGTCATCTGTAACCTTCTTCAGGGCCTGAGAAAACAAGCATATTGGGCACTCATGGTTAATGGGTCTTTCCTGCGCTCCATCAGTATCTAGCAAGTTATTCTAGATCACATTCGGGCAGGGGGAAACAATCAACTAAAATGACAAAAAATACAAAAAACCTCCTGAATAATGGTATTATAGTAGTATTATATTTTCCTAGTAATTCAAGTACTCTACTTATATTTTATTAATTGCTCGTTAATTATGTTCATTATTAATGAAGATTTTCCATCATAATACAAAGAAAAACATACGATTCAGGAGTTCAGAACAAATCTGTATATCCTTGCTTTTATTCTTTAAATGAATGGCAATGCCTTCAGACTTATCACCTTGTTGGCCACTTTGTTGAAGAGACGAAGCTGGTCTTCACTCGATGTCATTCGTTCTTTCCTAACCATGTCCCTCAGTTCTTGTTGGTCATCATCGCCAAAGTACCTCTCTCTCTGCCCATCCTTGCCATGTGTTACAATCTACCACAGACAACAAGACAAATTAACAACTCCCTTATTTGTGTTTCAATTAAAGGAGAAATGAAAGTTGTCCATATTACTGATTCTGCTATCTGCTCTAAGGTAGCGTTGTAGCCCTTGTGCATTTTTGCCCCTTCATCCTCATTTCTCGTTGATATTACAGTTCTCAGTTCTCACTTTTTCGTTCGTTCATATGCTGATTCATTTTCCATTGTTACTTTTTAACAGCTTTAATGGGATTTATCACAGCAGGATTACAACAATATGTAAACACATTTAAAAGGAAATCTTAAGACAAATCACTGTTGTGTAAAAGTCTTCCGAGATTTTTCCAAAATTTGGACATCCTTACAACCCAATTAATACCAAAGTTTACCCTCACTTATGTTGTTAGTGCCCATTTCAGCACTCTCAGAGTCTGACAAATCACTTCTTCAGTTTAAAAGAAGTCAATTTTCCAAGCTGGGATATTTCCAACTCACATTCTGTTTCTTCTTCCTCTTCTTTCCTTTGTTAGGGGGACTATTACTAGATTCTCCAAGTAGTGGCCAGCTTTGACCAGTTCGATCCATCCTGGTTAGTACCACTTCTTCTTCATCTGATGATCCTATGTCTGTCTTCATCTTACCACTGGACGGGCGTGTCTGGCTGGGGCCTTTGGTGGCTTGTTTGACTTTTGCTTGGTGCGATGCTTCCATCTGTGCCTTTAATTTCTTGGCAAGATCCTTAAGAAATTGAATGAATAAAATCATTATAACATCATTTAAAATGTCCAGGAATCCAATCCTAATACCTGCATTAAACTTTACTTCAATAATCACTGTTTTCCACCAAACTCGATCATTGGTTCACTAAAACCTGTGAAGGTTACAATTTAGAAAAACAAAATGGAATATTTTAGCTTGTATGAATTTCTTCACTGCATGTATCTTACATTATATGTAAGTTCTTAAACAATGAAAAATTGGTCTTTTTAAATTGTACAAACTACGTACCTCATTTCCCATGAGCTCGGCTTTAACAATTTTTGCTCCAAGTTGGTTCATTTCTGCATCACTTAAAATCCTCAGGGGAGGGGAGGGGTTTTTCTCCCTCTCTGTATCAACACTACTGTCACTCTCAGACCCAGAAGATGAGGAAGACTCGCTTGAGCTTTTCGATTCTTCCTCGGAACTTTGTGAAGATTTGATCGATCCCTTGCCTTGTTTATTTGTTTCTGTTGTTTGTTTTTTCCAAGCTGGAACATCATAAGATGATTTACTAGAAGATTCTCCCATCGAAGATGTTGAAGATGCAGAGTTCTTATCAAGATTTTCATTTGGTTTCTGAAAAGTCTTCTTCCAAGCCGGTGGCTCATTCTCTTGTCTCCTATTACTTCCAGAGAACGTATCCCGCCTCCTGGAGTCATCCTTACTATCCGACAATTCTTCCCCAGGTTTCTTGAACATTCCCTTCAGGCCTCCTAGAGTTCTGACACTATCAGGTTTCAAATCTTTGCGTTTCGAATAGTCAGCTTTGCTTAGTCTCGTGGAAGTCCTACTATATGTACTTGCCTGTTTTTCATCTTCACTTCTTCTCAGAACAGATGAGTGTGATTTGGATTCCCTGCCACCATATTTGTCTCTAGATCTGTCACTGCTCCTATCTGGGCTTCTGCTTCCTTTCTGGGTACTTGCTATAAGTCTGTCCCTGTATCGGTCACTCTTTCTGTCACAGTCTCTCTTACTATCCCTGCCATGATCTCTACCTCTGCATCTATCATCACCTCTCTCCCTATCTCTGTGTGTTTTTTCTTCCCAATCCCTCCTGTAGCTTGTACCTCTATCCATATCCCTGTGTTGCCTGGGTTTATTACTGTCCTTCTGAGAGGGTCTGTTCTGTGCACCTTCAGCCCTGGCCAACAATTCATAGTACTTCTCAAGTGACTACAATGAAATTCACAAAACACACAAAAAGCATGCTGTTTATTTAATTGGAAACTCTTCAACTTAACTCTTTAGAGTTTGCTTCTGATGTCTGTACTTACACCCCATCTTTCAGCAGCAAGTTCCTCCACTGATCTGCCCTCCTCTTTGGCACGTTCCATAATCCTCTGGTATTGTTTCTTTAACCAGCCAACTCCAGCATCAGCAATGCCTAGCTTAGGAGCAGAAATGTCATGCTTCTCCTCTGGGAGGCCGGTCCCTCCATCCTTCCAGAAAGGGTTCAGTTCTCTGTCTGACTGACCAGGCTGCCAGAAAAGGGCAAAGAGAACAATCATTCCAACTTCAGCATACTAAACGTGGCTATCTTCCAACCAAGTAAATTATTCTTAATCCCGAAGAGTGATTTTTTTCATCAGTAGAACAATTCTTGCCAGTAGTGTCAAAATGCTTTCTTGGTGTTCATGTATAGTTAGTTGAGTTAAACTTACATTATCAAGGAGCATTTTTTGTTCTTTTTCTTTTTCAGTTTCAGCACTGTCCTGCTGCGCTACTTTCTCTCTCCTGATGTCATCACGGGAATATGTTGCTACGGTGAAGGGGTCGTTCATCCAGTTATCTCTCTGTAATAGAACAGCAGTGCAGGTCAACAGAGGTTACAATGGTAACTTATCAATGTTTCACCAATAATTAAACAATAGAGGTATTGATATTATCTCCATAAAAAGGTTGAAGGCCAAAATTATCTCAAGGGAAAATCATTGGTAGAGTAATAAACTAAATTTTCCCATCAGTCTTGTTTATTGACATAATGTAACACAGCAAAAACTAATAAAAGATATTCAGGGAAAAAAATGTCTTCTTTGTGGAGATACCTGCATCCTCTGTTTGTCATTTGAAGTGGTAATATTTTGTACCAAGGGCTTAGATGATGCAGAATCATTCTCCACCCATTCCATTTCATCAGAGGTTTCCTGCAGAAAAGAGTCCTTAAGGTTAGATAAGATGACAGCATCATGAAATATGAATTTTTACACATATATGCCCTTACTAGGGTGCTGTTTGATGCAAAATACTTTCATGACAAGTCTGTCACAACTTACATCCTCTTTGGATGAAAAGTCACTGTCGCTTGCCTCGTGCCTGCATTTGTGCTTTGCTTTCTTCTCCTTCTTTTTCTTTTTATCCTTCTTACGTTTCTTGGACTTCAATTGTTCACCCTGATGAGAAAAAAGAATGAGCACATATGGTTTTCATACCTACTCCACTTGTTCCAATTTTGCGTTCAGCAGTCATCCTCTTCTGTATGATACAAATTTGCAATCTGTAGAAAATCATCTCCAGCTCTAAAGGTGAAAGATATTTTAAGGAAATGAAAACATCTGTGCAAGAGGAGCTTGTGTGCTTTACCTCAGCCTGAATTCTATCAGAGACTGAAGACAACATCCACTTATCATCACCTCTCAGTTTGCGGGCTTCTTTCTGTCGTTCTTTATTTTCATACTCTTCTTTTACCTATAAAGGGAGGGTGAATTCAACCAATTTATTCATCAACTTTCAGTATTTGGACAATAAAAAACATTATAATAAGGGCTTCCTCGGGTAAGACTAACTTGAAAACCCTCATCAAGAGAAAAGCCCTTCCAAACCCCAACCGACAAAAACACATTAACAAATATTCAACAGGTAGAAAAAGAAGTACCGTAATACGCACAATTTAAGTATTATCTTAAAAAGATCAATTATTGCCATAAGATTTGCAAAGAAAGAAATGAAATTGAGGAAAAAAAATTTCCCGTTTGTTTTAAATTACTCTAAAAATATTACTGGCCCACACAGACTCGGCAAAAAAGTAATAAGCGTCAACTATCCAAATTTTAAAGTGTCGTAATCATTCACAAGTTTTAAAACCTGTTCCCCCTATAAATTGGTCCCACCGCATACCTCACTAATTAAATTTGTAAACATGTTTAATATCATACTAAAATACAGGTGCCCCTTTTTAATACATCGCCACTGGTTTGTTGATGTTGTTTGTTTTGTGACAGTCCAATGTACAAGGTTCCTGCACCTAAAGGACAAGTAACTTTAAATTGACTTTTGCATGACTTTTCCATAACCAAATTATGAAAATCCATGACCCAATAACACAATTTCTTGGACTATTGAGACTTTTAAAGTTTCAAATAAAATTACACATTTTATGCACTTATTTCTGATAACAGAAATCACAGACAGTGTTTAAAAAACTCCATGACTTGTCCATGACTTTAGTCATTTTTATAAAATTCCATGACTTTTCCTGGCCTGGAAGTAGAAAACGAAAACAAATTTCCATGACTTTTCCAGGCCCCAGGAACCCTGAATGTGGAATTCCATCCTTGTTTAGCTTAAAAACTACCTCTTTGAAGAATAGTAATTTAGTATATATTCTGAAAAGGGCACATTTCAACATTTCTCACAGCCACTGACAGTGTTCATGGTGTTTTTGTTGTCATGTTTGTTTCTAAAAAATTGAATTCATTCGTCAACAATTCAACCAGCCAACCCCATCTCCTTTCCTTTTTACAGTTATGACAAGATTGTTTCAAAAAGGAAGTCCGCTTGGAGATTTTACGCAGGGTCAACCTTTCGCGCGGCGGAGAGATTACAACCAACACACATAACACACGCACTAAGGGATCAGGTCAACTCGGACCCAAA